GGTAGGTTGCTTGCCTCCATTTTGTTTATGTATTTATTTTTCTGGAGTTTGCTCCTGTTCTTTCATTTGGGGTATGTTTCTTTGTTTCTTCATTTTGGCTGCCTCTCTGTGTTTGTTTCTATGTATTAGGTAGATCTGCTAAGTATCCTAGTCTTGCTGATGGCCTTATGTAGTAACCACCCAATGGGGCCCAGTGGCACAGTCTCCCTGGCCACCTGTGCTGTGTGTTCCAGGAGTGTCTCTTGTGTGGGTTGTGTGTGCCCTCCTGTTATAGTTGAGCCTTGATTGCTATTGGCAGGTCAGTGGGTGGGATTTACCCTCAGGCTGACTGGCTGTGGGATTTGGCCACATCCACAGCTTATGGGCTGCTGTACAGGGGGGCTTAACCCATGGAGTAGGATTTGTCCCTGCAGGCCCTCATGCCTGTTGAGACTGCCCCTCGGATGTGCCACTTGTGGAGCGCTGTTGTGGTCAGAAGCCAACCTCCAAGTATGTTGGTTCTGGGGCTTCTTAGGAGGGGCTATAGTGCAGGCCAAGGTCAGCCACTACCTGTGTCTGGCCAGGGGCTACCTAGTAAGAGCTACAAAGTGATACACAGCTGGTTGCTGCCTGTGCTAGGGCTGGAGGTATGTGAGAGAAGCCATGCTGCCAACCGAGGAACCATGCTGCCACCAGTACCAGGCCTGGGGTAGCTCTACAAAAAGCCAGGACACTCCAAGGCCTACTGCCAGCTGCCAGCACCCATAAGGTTCAGCTGCCAATAAAGCCTCCTGAGGTATGGAGTTGGGTGTGGCAGGGTCTCAGTGAATCACCAGGGTGGAGTGAGTGGAGCTCACCAGATCAATTCAGATTCAGATTTGACCATGGGCATGTGTATGTCAGGGCTCTACACAGAAAAGATAGCACATGCCTGCTGGCTGCATGGATGAAGGACCTCACAAAGGGAAAATGGCAACTGTCTCTCTAGTCCTTGGTCTGAAACCACACAACTCAGTCCTTCCCCATATGTCTCCAATGCCCCCACTCCCTCAAGTCACTGTTCCTCTGCTGGAGCCCAGGGTGACTGCCTGTGAGTGAGTCTGTGCATGAGCCCTTTAAGAGGACATCTGGGTTTCCTGCAGCCTTCTCTCCCACCCTGATGGTCAGAATCCCACTGTTTTTCAAAGCCAGACATGAGGGCTGTTCTTGCTGGCACTGGTACTCTGGGCTGGGGAGCTTGGCATGGGGCTGGGGTTCCTCGCTCCTCCAGGGGGAACCTCAGTTGCCAAGATATCCCTCCTGATTTTCAACCACCACACAGAAGTTTGGGTCTGGCCTGTTTTGCATCTCCACCCCTCCTGCCAGTCTCAAAGTGGCTTCTTTATATCCTTAGTTATAGAACTTCTGTTCAGCTAGACTTCAGATAGTTCTCCAGGTTGATTGTTCTATAATTTAGTTGTAATTTTGATGTGTTCAAGGAATGAGGCAAGCACAGTGTTTATCTACTCCACCATCTTGGATCTTATAATGACTATTCTTGATCTCTCTTGTTGGTGATAGGCAATTCCATCTCATTCAGTCAATTTTTGTATTAACAAAACTGCTTAACCTTATCATGCTCATTATCATTATCATAGTCAAAGACACTTGTCCTAATGCAGCCTCCATCTTTGCTAGCTCAGGGCCCATGGGAGTGCCTAATCACCAGAAAATTTTCCGTGACTGGCCTTGGGCAGACTTGTCAGCAAAGTGGGTTTTGTTGTCACTTTCTTTCTTTTCTTTCTTTTTTTTTCCCCTCCTTCTAGCATCATGGTCTAGCTTTTGGCACTTTTATCAAGTCTTCTCTTTAATTGTTTCTTTTTGGCTCTTTGTGTCTCTCTTTGAAACCTTCCCTTCCTTGGTGATGCTCTTGTTGTTCCTGATCTTGACAAGCACAAAGCTAGGCAGTTTGAAAAAATTGATTGAGAAAAGATGCTCGTAGGCTGAGGTATTAATTCCTTCCAATTTCTCCTGCATTTTATTTAAAATCTGGATAGTAAGTGTTATTGAATCATAACTAGCTCGAGACAGATAGGGAGAATTCTGGGTGAAAGACTCTTTATTATCTCATAAATAATTGTGGATGTATATGGCCCATCCCATTTCCAGTAATCAGATGTCAGGGATGTGAAGTTCTCAGTAACTTCTAGGGACAGTGAAGAGTCATGAATGGAGTTTAAACAGGGAAGTAATATGATTTAATATGTGTTTGAGAAAGATCATTATGGCTAAAGTAGGATAAAGGTTGGAGAGAGACTGGAGAAGAGGTTTTTGTTACATACACATTAAGATGATGGTGACTGTATTTTGGCCACTGGATTGAGGAATGTTGGGGTACTGCAGCATAATTTTAGAGAAACAACTGGCCTTGGCCATGGAGTGGTTGTGGAGAGTGAAGGAGAGGGATAATCTAGGAAGAAGTAATTTTTCTGTCTTACTCAGTGGGGAATGGATTATGGAACACAAACAAAACAATACATTTGAGAGGAACTATATTTCAAGGTGGAAATGATGGATTACCTCTTGAGCTTACTAAGTTTGAAACACCTACAGGACAGGAAAGAAAATGATATCTCAGTTTCTTATCCAATTATAGAATTTTATCACCAGACCAAAAAATGTTTCAACTCCAAATGAAATCATCTGTAAAATCAATAGGCTGATTTTACTTCAGCCTGTTTCCTCATCTGCATTCAATATCAACCTCAATATATTGCTCTCTTGCAGTTTTGTCTTCCTGAAGAAGTGTTATTTAAACTGAAGATTAGGGTGCGGGATCCCAGTAATGACAACTGTGTGTTTGAAGACTTGTAAATAATCGTGACTCCAAATTTCCTCTATAGAGGGGCATAAGGTATTAATCTCATTGGAAAAGGAAAGTGGATGAAAGAAGAGGCTAATAACCTTCTTTTGAAACTGCATTTGCCCAGCAGTCCACTCTTTATGTTCATTTGGAGTGGCATGATTAGAATCTGGTTTTCTGATTCCAGAGCCCATACTATCCTATCTAAATACATATTTCAACTCTTTCTACTGTGTCTAAATAGTAGTCCATATTACTCTCTATCCTTTTCCCCTACATTATTTTCTTTATAATCACTTATTACTACTTTACATCGTACAATTGGTATATATTGCCTATATCCAGAATTTATTTGTTTTGTTCATTGTCCTAATAAATTGTGGTCAGGATTCTTTCAACTTTTCTGTCTCTTTTTTCCAGATAAGCAATTTTAACTTATACACATGTCACTCAAAAAATTACTCTTCTTGGATAATTTGCATCAGTGTATAATCAAATTCCACCTGCAAGAGCAAACAAAAAATAAACTATTATTTCATATTTTACCTAAATAAAAGTAGCATTCAGGCTTAACATATTTTAAAGCTAATTTTGTGTTGGATTTGAAAATCTTTACCAAAATAAGCTCTGGTATAAAAGTAAGCTTTGGTATAAAAGCAAGACTGGATCAACTCATTCTCAGCATAAATATTTCCTCATAATATCTTTAATTATTTTAAAAATTTTATTAGATTTCTTGAGGTTACATTGGTTAATAAAATTATATAGGTTTCAAGTGTACAATTCTATAATACATCATCTACGTATTTCATTGTGTATCCACCACCCAGAGTCTGTTCTCCTTCCATCACCATATATTTGACCCCCTTTACCCTTTGCTACCTCCCGTCCACCCCGCTTTCCCTCTGGTAACCACCATACTGTTGTCTGTGTCTATGAGTTTGTGTTTGTTTGTTTGTTTGTTTTGTTCATTTGTTGCTTTTAGCTTTTAATGTGTGTATGTGAGATTTTATTATTTTGCATTTAAAGTTGCAACTACTTACTGAGGTTGTAAATGAATGACCAACACACAATCATTTATGATAAATTTCCATGCTTATAGCTTTCTTCTGATTAGAATTTAATATAGAGAGATTTTATTCATGTGAATATAACAGTATTTGAATAAGCTATGGGAGAATTACAATGGAATGCTGCTGGATACAGAATGATTCTTTTAGACACCAAGACTAATAATTTTTAACAATATCTAAAAACATTGTAGGAAAAGCCTGAACCATGCTGGCACCAGGGACAGACAGGCATGAAAGATTAATGTAATCTTGCATATAATGATGCACATTCTTACACAAAAAATCCATCTGCAATGTCATGTCAGTCAGCAGAAATCTTTGATGGGTGGATACAGCTGGGCTGTCTCTTCTGGCAGAGAGGCCCTAGAAAATGCTAAATGTGGTTGGGATGCTTAGTGCCATCTGCAGTGTGCCAGTTTATCCTGTCGTCACTGGCATTTACAATACTGCATGGGGCATATCATGGCTGTAGAGACAGCGATAGGGAGTGACAGATTCATTTCCTTGGAGGATCCAGCTCTGGTGGGCCTGTGCCACCCTCCTCCTCAGCTTTGGGTCTGTTATCACTGGTGTTGGCTTTGCTTCATCTTTTCACATCCAACTCCTCCTCTTCTGAGTCTCGCAGTTCCAGATACACATTCTTCTAGTATGTAAATCTTACACTAACCTTTCAACTAATCTATTCATGTAAGGTTGCCAAAGCGATTTCACATCGACGGTTTGATGCCAGCTAATATGCCTTATTTTCAAAATACTACTGCTCTTAGGCTTCTGATTTAAAGGAAATGTGTCTTATTTAAGGAACACTAAACAGACAGGCACCAGGATAAATTACCTGTTCTGTGTGGGATATCCCCAAATGACTTATGTAGTTGGAACAAATATATGGCCCTTTTTTTACATAAAGCTATAGAACACATCAGGCAAGTAACACTTAATCTGCTTTCCCATGATTAAAATATAAATATTCAAGAGTAAATGCTGTTTTACGACCTGACCATATGTTTATCATATTTTTTTACCAAACCACGTTAAAAAGTGTATATCATTTTCTAAACCTTTCCCTTTGTGTGTGTGTGTGTGTGTGTTTGTTTGTTTTTTTACAGTAACAGAATATGAAGGGCATGCTGTGTCACTGCTAAAGGAATGTGAACTACAGGGGTTTGATGGGTAGGTTATGTTATTAATCTATGTATGTCCTATAGCTTACATTATTAAATGTTTTCAGTAGTTTTTAGCCACATATTTGGGACCTTTAATTTTTAAATATTTGTGATGTATGTAATTAGGCTCTATTTCTTTCAAATCTGTCTAATAACAATTAATGATAATGATAATATGTCATGGTCATCCATCTCTCAGGATCGGGCCTAGGAAAGCAAAAGGAGAAATCTAATTGTATGACGTAAGTACTGGGAAATTACAGTGTACTATCTTATGCTTACCTAATGTGCATAAGCTTGCATGTATAGTCCTGAATTCTTGGCTTTAACTATGTATCTAGAAAAACATTGATAGGAGATATATATTGGTCATCTGTCATAACTACTATGATCCTCTTTTGCAAATTTATTGTGAGTGTTAATAGCTACCCCCAGTTATTTTACTGTGATTGATTGAGGGTAAATATTTTATAAAAACAAATATATTATTTTCATAATGAACAAAAGATGTTAATTGTAATTGTCTTCTATAATTTAGTGGCTGCCCAATATGTGTGTTATTCACAGTAGGCATTGGAAACTGTTGTTTGCAATACACTGCTGGAGTATGTATAATAGAAAGTGCTCACTTAAATGCAAATATGTACTAGAAACAAGGCAAGTGACATATGCTTTAATAGCCACTTTTACAAAATAGGTAAATCAATTTGCTAAAGTGCTATATTGATGTGCAACACTAAAACATATTCTTTCAGGAAAGTTTTTTTTTTTTTCCAAGGGTAGCTATTTCAGAGTTTTAAAAGGTGACAAGTATGTGAGTTCTTTGTGTCACATGGTGATGGGCAAGGGGCAACAAAAGACTCAGAATATCAGGAAGGGCAGTTGGGTCTTTCAACCCAAATGAAAGACTTTACTTTTCTTCCCAAAGAACTATTAGAATGCTTTAGGGAAGAAAGTCATGTAATCAAAATGGAGCCTTAGCAGGGTTGTTCTGCAGAAACACAATATTTTTTTGGTGAGGAAAAAAATATTAGTGGATGAAGAAGAAAGTTTGGAAAATAAAATGATTTTTCAAAAAGGACTTTAATGGAGAGGAGTAAATCTAGATAGCAATATTAAATAAATATTGAGGATGAGGAGGATGAGGTAGGAGATACCTTCCGAGGTTTATACTTAGAACTAGACAGATGGATTGATAGACTACATTTAGGAAACTGTCTTGCAAATAAATATACAATTTAAGAAAAGGAATTGGGGGAATCGTGCCCACTGCCTTCATATGCTGTATAGTATGGAAACACAGATTGTGAGTATTTATAAGTATAGCTGCATTTCAAATAAGCTCTTGCTTCAAAACTTGATTATATTAATAATGAAAATAACAGATATCATAGGTACTAGACCTGGTCTTACCCATCAGCATTATGAAGTGTTCTGCTAACTGTGGTATCTATAAATAAGTTCCATTGGTTGCATGGAACTATGCAAGGATCAAGAAGAACCTTGCAGAATGATGAAAGCCTATTGCTTAAGTGCAGTACAGTAATATTTTTCTTTTTTCCTGGACATATTTAATTCTTGTTTATTTCACATAGCAGGTATTATTTTTGCAGGGTGACACCAGAAAGAGATCTAGATCCTTTAGTCATCACCTACATTTTTTTAAAGCACATAATTTGGCCTAATCATTGATTAGCTGTTTATAAACTCTACAGCACGCTGATTTATTTAAAACTTTTAATAATTTTAAATTTCTATTGAAAGTCATCTATTTTCTAAGATCATTTAAATAGCTCATTTATGTCCATGGGCCCAATTTTTCCAGTAGGAAATGATAATGGTGGTAATTGGGATAACTATCTTAATAAAATAGTAATTTTATGTCACTCTACTTAGAATTGCATAGCAAGATCTATGAGGAGAACAATGGAAACATAGTTTCTTTAGGCACTTTAAAAGAACAATTCTCTAACAGAATTTTTTGAATGCACTACATTCATGAGTTCCCTGTTCTTGAACCTGTTCAAAGAGTGGCTACATAGGAGCACTTTTTGAAGAATATATACAAAAAACTCAAGAATGGGATAAGGTCACCTAAATATTCTACGGTATTTTGATGAGAGAGGGGCTCCCATTCCTTTAAGAACTTGAACCTGAATCATCTGAGACTGACTGTAGTGGAGCTGTTGATAGGGAGTGGTTAGAAAAATCACCTACAGGTTTTTAGACACAGGGAGGTTAAGATCTAAGAAAAACTCTATGTAGATATTCAATAAAGCAAAACGATTTGGTAAATAATGTTTAAGAAATGTTATTTGCTAAGGTTAATGAGGTACATATGTTTCTACGAAGACACATTGTAACATATTTGTAAAGCCAACAGGAACAGTGTATCAATACTCGTCATGACAGCTGGTGTGCAACTCCAGTGTATTCTAGCAAACAGATCCATTGCTAAAATTGTAAGAGCGTCAGTTTCCATATTGCCCCCTGTTTATACTGGGTATGAACAGGAAGTTTTGTGAAGGCAAAGAAAAGAGTGGGACCAGATACAGACTTGAATCAGTAACAGCTGAATTTATAAATGTGAATATTAAGCTAATGTATAGCTCTTATGCAATTATAAATATACTAATATTTTCCTATTTTGTTTTGCAGTGTTTTTTTTTATTTGAATTTGTTGAGTTACAGACTTTTCTTTGTTAATTTCACCATTAAAGAGACCCACAATAATTTAGACATTATTTGGCTAACATTGACATTTTATCACATTGACCATAATATCTGTATAACTAAGTAGGGTTAAAAAACATGTATCTCTTTTCCAAAAAAAAAAAAAAAACATTTAAAATAAAAAAATCCAATAATATTAAATATTTCAAAGATGATATTGGTTGATAGACAAATACACAATCACCCATTTAATTTTTTTTCTTTTTACTTTTTATAAAGAGAAGTAAGATATTAGCTCCCAGTTGTACTTTTCTGGACAGAATCATTCTACTTAGGGTCATGGCAAGAAGGAGTTTACTTATTCTCAAAACATAATATGTACCACATGCAAAAGATTAGTTACTCTGAGGTTTATGTTTTAGGGAAACTCTTAAGTGTGGTTAACATATTTTAAGAAGTTATTGGTTTTTTTTTTTTCCCTTTTCTTGTAGCATCCAGACTCTTGTGATTTGTTAGTATGAAGTATATTCCCTAAGTTGAGTAAACTATACCTGGAGATGAGCTTAATGATCTAGCGGTTGTCAACATGAATAAATATATTCCTTCCTAACTCACTTAATTCTATATCGGTTATACTTATAAACTGATTTTCAAAATAATAAAAGTCTCATACAGTTATTTTCATATACAGGAAAGGAATATGATATTTTTGATAGTAGTGCAGCCTCTAAGGCCACATTGGCTTGTTTCGAGTCCTCATTCTATTCTTTACTATGGTATGAACTTGGAAAAGCAACCTAATCTTTCTATGCCTTAGTTTCCTAATCTGTAAATTGAAGGTAACAGTATCTATTGCGTACAGTTATGATTCAAATTAAATGAGTTAATACACTGAGGAGAGCCCAGTATATAGTGGGCACTCTATCTACTGTGCCCACTATAGCTACTTTATTGTTGTAATTATTGTAATTTGTTATAGTTTCGAAATATTTAACACAGGATGTGTTATGGTAAAGTTTCAAAGGTTTTTGTAGCAGAGCATGTTCGTAGAAAGGCCATCTTTACTGACTCTAGCAATGTGTTAACGTGCACATGATGCTATAACTGGATGCAGGATTTTAGGGCTCAGTTGTTGCCATATGGAGTGGAAGAGTCAAGTCCTTTGGTGCTAAGTTAGATGCTTTGTTGGATGACTTCACGTGTTCCTTTTCGGCCACACACACCTCAGCAGGCAGACAGACCTGGATCTGGAAGCTATAATAAGTTCATAGAAATTTGAAAACCTCATAGAGATCTTTAAAATCATACAAAGTTGAAATCAAACCTTGGCTTCCCCATTTATAAAGATGATACCTACTTTATAGAATTCTGGGGATTTAATAGAAAAGAGCCAATGTATCATTTGACATAAAATTTGGCCCTTTGAAGATATAATCACTTTGCTCTCAATCAGTGGCCCCAATGGGAACCCCTGGAATCAGTTCAGAAATGAAATAATACCCCTAGCCAAAAATGACCTGGGCCATATTGTATATCTTGGAGTCTCGTCTAGCTAGAGTGGGCCTGGATCACCCAGGATGTGTGCGGCCGTAGGGCTAACCCTCAGCCAGGTGCAGGGGCTGACGGATTGAGAGAAAGGTGGAAGAAGTTGATGGAAAAAGTTCCCTCAGCCTCTGGATTCACCAACCTCCGGAGCTTCCTGAACTTAGGGAACCAGTAACCCTTGCTGCTTATGGCCTGTTTTGTTGGACACATAGACTGTTTAAATACATAGAATGCTAGTTGCTAGTATTTACACATCAGGAGACTCACCCCAAAATCAGAACCTGTGGCTTCTCTAGAAAAATCAGAAGATGTGTTCCTCTAGGCCTGCCTCCCACGGAGGAGTGGGTGGGAGCTAATAAGTGCCTCTCCTTTAGACTGAGCTACTCTTTCATTCCTCCCAGGCCCTTGCAGACCTTGAGTTGTGACAGCTGCTTTCAATAACACAAAATCTTCCTCCTTTTGGGAAAATTGAGGTGATTTTGCTACTTAAGATTATTTTGCTGCTTTTAAATACAACTGATTGTGAAACAAATGTCTAATATCTTATATACTACTTTTGTGGAGTCCCACGTCCACCTCCCTATAGTCTATTTATCATGACGCATTAAAAAAGATTAGCAGTGCTGAGTAGGGTCAAAGGGCAGTAACACTAATTTTAAAAGTGCCAAATAGCAATAATGTCCCGGAGATGAAAAGCAGTTTAAGTCTGCAATTACTACATTCATATACTAATGATAATTAGCAGTTCCTTAAATTAAAGCTTCATATTTTACATGATTTTTATTGCTGTCTTTTCAGAGCTATATTGAAATTTAGGGTTTTATGACTTCGGTTTCCGTTAGTGAGATGAATTGGTCATGACTGTTAACACAAACAAAATGAGAATAACATGCTTTTGGATATTAACAGAGCTAAATGCAGGTCAGATGTGAGTTCACATCTCCAAATGTTTTACTGTTTCTTAACCCATTTAAAAATATTTTATCTATGTGGTATCATCTAGGTAGATATTCCTGAAGTCAACTTTACCAGGGCAGTGCTAGTGTCTTCTTATCCATTGGCACAAACTAAAATGTCTGAAGGTGCGTGTGAGTAATCATGCACATAGAATATATAAGATTACTATTTTGAAGTATAGATTTCATTATTCTCAATTGGTTTGAAGTTTTGGAGTTTTTTACTTCATTTCTTGCTTTCTAGCGTTGTCTGTGTTGGTGGAGATGGATCTGCCAGTGAAGTAGCCCACGCTTTGCTTCTTCGAGCCCAGAAGAACGCTGGCATGGAAATGGATGGCACCCTGACTCCTGTCCGAGCACAGCTTCCACTTGGTGTAATACCAGCAGGCAAGGAAGTGGCTGTGAATTTGCTAAAAGGAACCTCTGCTTCTAGTCCTATCTTTCCCTCTTTTACTTCCTAACCTAGATAGTGTAATGTAAGAGTGAAATGCACAGATTTTGAATTTGAAAGACCCATGCTTAGCATCTCCACTAGCAAATGTGACACTTGGACAAGTTATTTAATTTCTTTGAGCCTCATTTTTCTAATCTATAAAAGATAACATAATATTCACTTCATTAAAAGTTTATTGTAGTATTAAATTAGATGGTATAGGTGGAGGGTTTAATGAACAGTGAACCAATCAATAACTGGGATTATTAGCATTCTACCTTCCCATTTAAAGGTATAATGATCACACAGTCCCAGATATGAAATTTCAAAACAGGGCACTCCAGTCAAACTGCTTATAATTTCATATGAGGTAAAATATGGTAATCCCCATAACTGAAGTATAAACAGGTAACCTTGAAAACACCAAAATGATTTATTCTGACTGCTGTATCTCCAGCAACTAGGATAGAATAGAACATGACACAGTGAACACTCAATAATTAAGTTTATTAAGTGAATGAATGTAAAGATGTTAGAGAGTAAGTGACACTTGAATTAGGCCTAAAAATGGGTTGGGTAGGATTTGGCCTGTAAAAAAAGATGAGAATGAGTTCTTCTTTTGACTGCAAAAATATTGGGTCGTCGGAAAAGTCGTGACGCATTTTTGCAACAAAAAACATAGAAAAAATATGTCATGACTTTTCTGACAACCCAATAATAAATGTCAAGGCAAAACTCAGAAGTGTGGAGGAATAGAAAGAGGAACATTTGTTGGGTGATAATGTTGTCAAAATAGGCTCAAACTATTGTGGCTCCTGGATGTCACAGGAAGGCATCTAAATGTATCTGATAAACGGCAGGGAACAATGGGAGGTTTAGAGCAAGACAGCAACCTGCTAGGAGCCTGTTCTAGGAAGATTCATGATTAGGGGAAGGGGGCAGGAGAACCTGGAGGTCAGAGACAGGGAGAGCAGCTAGAGCAACACTGGGACCCAGAAAAGAGGGGATCCAGAAAAGAGGAAAACATCTTTTGCAAGTTTAGGATACACAAGTCATTCCTCCCAAACCATTGTTTAAACAAACAAGAGTGAAGGAAAATGATTATTTCTTTTCATTTTGAAAACATCACACATTATCTCTACAAGAAAAGCAGAAACAGTTATTCTTTCCTATGAAAATAGAAAATACATATGGTTGAAAAAAAATTCAACAGTTTATCCATTTGATGACGACATTTATTTAGTATGGATTTCCGTATATTTAGTATTGTTAATTAACAAAGAGCAAATGATACACAAATGCCTTTTTAGAGTAGAAAGAATTTCATACAAACAAGAATTTAAAAGGAGAGCAATGTTCATGTATATCTTGATAATTGTAAAACATATAGAGAAAAATCTGTGCTGCTCTTCAAGTACAACAGAACAAAATAACCTCAGCTCAGAAAGAAAAAAAAAAAGATGCCTTTGGGACTAGCCACTGTGACCTTTTGGTGTCATTTTAGTTGCTCTCTCTATAATGCACTGTGGATGTACTGAGGTCGCTGTTGCTTTTCATTAGTACTTACACTGCTGAGGTCACTGATTAACTGCCGGGCATCAAAAGGAGAAAGAAGGGTGTCCCCAAAGGGATGCATTTCACAAAGTGAATAGTTAGCTAGAAAAACAGGTGGCTATACTTATCTCCTTAATATGTAACTCAGATTTTCTAAAGGAATACCACTGAGTGTTATCATTGTTGTACTTCTTAAGCACATTTCTGATTTTTAAAGCACTTTCTAGACACAGTAGATATGTAGAAAGGTCATTTGAATACTTTTTGTTTAGAAAATACAGCCTGTTGCCAAAACTCTGGTCATCGCCCAGGAGTTTCGCTTATGGATTCCATCTAATAGGAGGAAGTAGTTATGTGCAGGGTGTATTTAACATCAGGATGCTAGCCAGCTGAGTGGCTCAGTTGGTTAAGAGCTCACTCAAGAGTGCGAGCTCTGAGCAACAGGGTGGCCGGTTTGATTCCCGGCCCGAGCTGAGCTGCTGCTGAGCTGCCAACAGGTGGCAGGATGGCTCAGCTAAAAGAAATTTTTTAAAAATAACAAAAAATAACATCAGGACTCTATGTCTACTCAGGGCTTTGACAAAGAATGAGAACAAGAGCTAGGCAGGAAGTTTTCAAGCTGAACACAAGACAATCTGCCTTTGAAGCCATTTGCCTCCTGGAGAGTGAGACCCAGAGGGAGAGCGCTTAGTGAATTACTACACTGAGCCAACAGACTAAGCTGCTGAATTATGGTCAGGATCAAATGGATCAGATGTGGAGAAGCCTATATTTGAACTGCTGGTTATTAGCAATGGTGTTTGTTGCTATGGGAACTGGTGCTAAGGAACTATATACAGAGAGATTCTGATTAAAGGGTGTGTGTTGGTGGGGGGAGAGGGCTAGGAGGGTAGGATAGAGGAAAAAGCCTGAGAGGACGTAAAAATAAAAAAAGCAATCCAGTTGTAAAACGACTCAATCCCTATACTGATGGCTGCAAACCATACATTCCTATAGAGTTCACATAAATAAATTCATGCTTTCCAATTAATTTGAAGAAAATAAAATGTTGCCAAGGGACTGTTAATGTCTATGATATTTCAGGCAAAGAACCAAAGTGTAGGTACAGTTTTCACGAGAATTTTAGATATGCTTGACTAGGAAGTCATTACATCACATTTATCTGTTTAGATGTGGGAGACATTAACGGCCTTATGAATATTCATGGTGTCTGGTTAATTAAGTTAATTGTTCTGCAGAAGTGCTTGCACTTCCAAGGACATTTTTTTTTTCCTTTTTTCTTTTTGCCTCTGTGGTTTCTGCCTGGTACTTCCACCAGCCATGCTTTGCATGACCTGCTACTTCTGTCCTTACTTTGTATTTGCTACATTTTGACAGGTCTGGGAAGGTGATGGTGAGCAAGTTGCTGGTAAAATTAAGAAAAATAAGTTTTCTGGCTAATTAAAATGTTTACCTAGAGGTAGAACATTTATAGCTTTTGTGAGAATGCTAAAATTACATAGTTGTTATTTATGTGAGCAGCATGTTCTTTTGGCATGTAGACATCTTTTCAGTTGGATCATATGTTGTTTTGGGAAATTGTACCCTATCTTTTAGAGGATCCAAGCAAAAATATAGCGCAATCTATAGTTTTATAATTTTACATCCACTTTCCTTAATGAACTTTTAAGTCTGGGTATAAAAAAACCATTCTTAAGGACTAAGGTACAGGTTAATCAGAGTGGAAGATGACTAACATAATTTTCTGATTTCTGGTCATGCCATCATCACTGCCAAGCTCAATGGAATTAAGAAAAATTTGCAAAGCCTGAGAAGACACAAAAAATAAAAGAAGTTATCTCTAGCATTCTAAAAGCATTTGTGCTTGCGCATGCTCAGCATACTTCAAACTCACGGAATAAACAGTCATCATTTTCTTGAGTCATGATATGTGCCATTCTCTATCGCACATGACATTACAAAGCTTTTTAATAGCTTTTCTAGAGAAATGCTTTTATGGCTTCTCCTAATTAACCATGGAGGAAATATGTTTCATGGAGTACTGTAATCCATTGATAATCCTAAATATCTCACTCTAATTATGTGGCTCCCTCCAAAACCTTTACCATAAATCTAACTGGGAAGCAAAATATATTGATTTGTTTCTTCTCCCTTCCCAACCCCAACCCATTCCAGATTAATTAGCAATTAGATGGCCAATGGGCAGGCTGTAGAGAGTTAAGAGATTATTAAAAAATCCTAGATATTTGCCTCCTGGGTAAAGATCCACTGAGTAACAGGTTTTGGGACCACTTGTTCGCAGACCTCGGGACACACACGAATTACCTTGACAATTAGCTAAAACGTGGATACCTCAGCCTTACTTCGAGACATTCTGATTCCATGATTTGTGGGTAAAACCCAAAAGTTTTTAACAAGGTCCCAGGTAATGTTGATGCTGCTGACCCCTGGGACCATGTATTCTAGAAGAGGACCTCTCTAAGTTACTATGCATACACATAACCTGAGGATCTTATAAAGTGCAGACTCTTGAGTCAGGTCTGGAGTGGGGCTGGAGAGTCACCATCTTAATAAGCACCCCGATATTGTCCTTACTGCTGCACTGTGAGCCATATTCTGAGGAAGAAGTGTCAGAGCATGACTTGCCATTTGGAAAATCAGTTGGAACCAGTTTACCAATTGGTTGAGGTGGATTTTTCTTCGCATTGGTATTACTAGAGACTTCGAAATCACTAACGTTTAGATATGTCCATTCCTAATGATGATGATTATTTTAATGACAGCCTTGGTTAATAATGTCTGACTTGTTTTGGCTTCTCCAGGTGAGCATCCCAAGCAGCATCAGTTCAAAGTGACATAAATTGAAGAGATTAACATTTGGCCACAGAGGAATATTCCTGATTAACAAACCCAGGGGACAAGCCTTTGCCTCGATAGCTGTAGTACACAACACATCCTTGTTTTCACAGCCCTCGGTTGTTACTGCATGTCTTTCTCATACTCTTTAATTCAAGAAAAATTGTAGCTTCTTTATTTTAAACCCTATTTACCTCCTAGGGATGGCAGAGGCTAGCTGATATTTTCTTCTTTGGAAGCAGGACTTTTCCACAAGATCTGAGACAAAAAATGAGTTCTTTTCTTCTGTAGGTGGGAAACATTTATGTGGCTCTTAAATTTTTTTTTTTGAAGATTTTATTGGGGAATTGGGGGAGGGGAACAGACAAGTTGCTGTTCTCTTGTTCTTCAGTCTAGTTGTGGAGGATGTCGCTTCACTGTCCCATGCTGGTATTGTGATCATTGCACTCTTCCAGGCTGAGGCAGATAGGTTGCCAGCCATTGGAATGGCAGCTCACGGCAGCTCTCGCTGGCTGCCAGCCAATCACGATAGCTCACAGCAGCCCACTGCAGCCCCACTGCAGCCTATGCCGTCACCAGTGACTCACAGCAGCCCAGCTCCAGGTCGAGCTGTTGTTCACCATCTGAGCTGTAGAGGGCCCAGGTCACTTGGCCCATGTGGGATTCGAACCAGCGGCCCTGCTGCTCAGAGCTCGCACTCCCAAGCCAACTCTTAACCAATGAGCCACTTGGCTGGCCCTTAAATTATTTTAATGATTATGAAAATCAGAAATCTATAGTATCTCAATACAGATTTTCATACCATGGCAAATACCATGGAATTAAATATTTTCTTTATCTAGGATACCATTTGTCAGATAATACAGAGGAATCTCCATTTGGATGAGAGCATAACTCTAAGAGTCATTAAATATATTTAAAGCCTGTCATTTGTAATTTGTAGTGATTTTGTACTTTTTCTTAGTTATTTGGATTTTAATATTTATGTACGTATTTACCTCTGTGTTCCAGAGACATCCTTCTGCTGCTGCTTCTTGTTTGGTATAGAAGTTGGAAGCCCATTTCTTAAAGTTGAATGGAGTAGACTTTGCTATAGCTAGTATTTTTTGGTAGAAAATAGAAATTCATGGTGGAAAAAGCTATGAACAAGGAAATGCTATAAACTATTTTCTAAAATGTTTAAGTTGTTAAGAAATTAAATAATGATTTGGTAACCATTTGATGTGCATCTAAGCTGTGAATGAAAAGTTATAAACATCCTTTAATTTTTCATCTGAACATTACATAGTGACACCTGTATAAAGGAAAGGAAATGGTTAATTTAAAACATATACTACAATGATTGTACATGTTTTAAAATTGATTTGGCAGGCTCTACTAACGTACTGGCACATTCTCTTCATGGAATCCCTCACGTGGTAACTGCAACTTTGCACATTATACTGGGTAAGAATCCTTTCAAAGAAGCTCTCGTGTTATAAGGAAGTTTTTATATTTATATAAGTCTACTTTATTTCTGTCAGACTTGCCTGAGGAAAGACAGAGTCTTTGTCTCTCAAAGCAGAGAAAAGTTTGACTAAAACCCAACAGTCAGTTAGACAACTCTTAACTATTTGGGCTGCCAATCTTTGCAGAATACAGGTGCTATAAAGAGCAGTAAATGAAGTTTTGCTATAATCTTGATAGAAAAAAAATATTGTAATATTTAAGACCACAACTTTATAACCAGATCAATAAAATCCATGCATACTATTTAAGTATATCAGATACTGTTGTGTGACTGTACCACGATTCTAGGGATAGGATTATATTATTAAAAGAGAAAAGTGCAAGATAACATTTTTCAGCCAGTGTACATCCACTAGATTTTTTTATTATCCCTATTGATTGAAAGCATATAAACTCAGATAAATGCAATGCAAAACTGTTCAATCTGAGTTTACTTTGCACATGTACTTCAACTTCACTTCCTTAACCATGCTTTATATGAAATAGTAGTAAGCTGCAAAATTTACTGCATTGTGTTTTTCCCCCTAGTACCTGAAAAAGTTATAAATGGCTATTTCAGTGGTTGTAGGTAAAGAGAGATGAAGACAAAGCAAGGATATTCATTATGACATAAAGTAGCTTGAAATCTTCTATAAATAAATATGTTCTTTTGTGTTTGCCATCTTGACAATTGGCCTGACTGCATTCACTGGTTGACTAATATTCAATATAATATTCAAGGGCATCTACAACCAGTCGATGTCTGCACCTTCAGCACCACTGGCAAGCTTCTTCGCTTTGGCTTCTCAGCCATGTTTGGCTTTGGTGGAAGAACTTTGGCTCTGGCAGAAAAACATCGATGGATGTCCCCTAACCAACGGAGGGATTTTGCTGTAATTAAGGCACTGGCACAACTTGAGTAAGTCTTTTTTCTCTTAAACCAAAAAATTGCATATCCCACAGTCGATGACTCTTAATGACAAATTTTATTATATTTTAGGCCAGAGGACTGTGAAATATCATTTTTGCCATTTAACAGTTCTCAGGATTTACAACAAAGGTAGGTAAAAAGCTCAAAGTAATATATACACCTCTATCTTTCTTTAAAGCATAAAAAGTTTGATATAAACAATTGATTAGACTTGTGATCTTTGGTTGTTTTTCTAGCATACTAGTGAAGAATATAGAATCACGGAGTCTTACAGATTCTATTAGGCCATGTAATTTGGTTTCTGTCTTCAGGAATAACCTTTAATTCCATCCATCCATCCATCCATCCATCCATCCATCCATCCATCCATCCATCTATCCATCCATTCAACAGCTGTTTATTGAATGCCTACTCTCTGCAGGCACTTTGGATACAGCAGTGAGCCAAAAAACAAACAAAACCCTTAGTTTCTGCACTCATGAGAGTGACAAGTCTAGTGTAGAACACAAATATTAATCACAGTCACACAAAGGAAGTGCTCCAGTCTTAAAAAAAAAAAAAGAAAACCATTTTTCATGGATGATACTAACTTTAAATGAGTCAATACAATACAATGTAGTAAAAGAATTGTTCGTGTATTTTTACTTACTGTCTAAGCAAATAGTTAATATATGTAATGTTGGATTCTATAATTTCCTCATACTGAATGGATGCTATTTTGTGTGATTTTTTTTCCTAGTTTCTTTGTTTTGTTTTCTTCCTTTTAGGAGGGCACAGGGATCTCCCAAATCTGGTGAGTCTAAAAGCACCCCTTGAGAACTGAGCCAGGCTCCATTGACGTTGTGCTCTGGTGAGGAGAAGTAACCGATTCCTTCCATTACCTTTAGACTGTGATGATCAGTGGCAGACAATCCGGGGCCAGTTTCTGAATGTCAGCATTATGGCAATTCCTTGCCTGTGTTCAGTGGCCCCTAGAGGTTTGGCACCTAATACCAGGTTAGTAAGCATTTTTGTTGAATCATTGATACTTTTCTATGAACTAAAATTTTCTTGACAAATACTCTTCCTAACTCTTGGCTAGCTAGAATATTATGAAGAGGTTTTCTCATCTTGACTGTATACTATTAGGGATTTTGAGGGGTTTGTCATCTGAGTAGGTTAAAAGCAACTGTTAAACTGGAAAAATTATCAGACAATCACTGATTTTTTTTTAATATCACTGAGGCTAAAATATTTCTTGGGCTTTACTGACATGATTTTATTATGTTATTTTACATCTACTTTGCTTACTTTATTTATGTTTGTCTACCAGTTGTTGAGAACATTGTATTTAATTCTGGAATTTCTTATGAGTGTCTCCGCTTTCCAACTTTAGTGCAGACATAAATATTCTTAGCATGAAAAGCATGTGTGTGTGTATATTTGATACCTTGAATCAAAGGAAACATTTCAGTTATACTTAGTGAGTAGTGGTGCATATGAATCTACTGCCCACATTTTCTGTAAAATATCATAAGGTATTTTATATATTGTTTTATCCATCAGATATATTCCATTTTTTGCACATTCTTTTCAAGTGCATGTCCATTATTGGTCTGAAAATATTTCTCTCCCATCCTGTAGGGCATAGAAGAAAGGATCATGAATTTTGTTTAATATAGTCAAATCTAGATTTTCCCTGGAGGTGGAATAAAAGAATGACTTATGTACTTTGGCAATGTATAACATTATTTTAATGATTAGTTTCAACTTCCCTGGAAAATATTTAACCAGAATGATTAACATCTAGCAAAAGGGATTGGTCTTAATTTTTTTCCTTGGCAATTGACATGAAGGTAATAAATAAGGAAATATCCGAAGTTAGAGAAGAAAAAGCTATATTTATGCCAGGCACATAAGGTGTTCTAATTAATAGTAAATATTGAAAAGTTGAACATAAAATGCTTTTTCATGGTTATGAGTAAAAATTAAGCAATTTAGAGAAATAAAGGATGCACAAAACACTACCCTGAACAGTTTGGTACTGTTTATTTTCATTTGAGAAATGGCATGATAGGTCAAAGGAGCATGGAACCCTGAGAATTAAAAGCTCTGGTGCCAGTGGTTATTTTTTCCCTGGGTGCCTTTGAACAAATCACTTAAACTTGGGAACTTCTTTTTCCTTCTACATAAACTGAGTGAATGATAGATAATCTTCAAGGTCCCTTACATCCCTAACCTGAGCTTCCATAAGATTTAAAGAGCTCTTTTTATTTTATTTTTTTATTTTGTTGATGTTATTTTTGGAATTAGCTTTATATTTGCACTGAAATTGAGCTAGAAGTCATTTGCATGTATTTCTGCAAACTGCCTTCTAAAGCTTGATACGTTTGTGAGTGGCTTTTTGGGCACTAAACCACACACTAAATTTGCAGTCTCTTATATTGAACTGAACAGTAATGCAAGATTAAAATGCTTGGTCATTTAACTGAACATGTGTGGCGGCAGTTGTTCATTTTATGTCACCCATCCCAGGGCCGCTTTGATTTAGTTTCCTGTGTCACTTAGTCTTGACCATAAATAAATATTTAAGTCAACTTGAGACTTTAGAATATGTTGAACAATTTGTTATACTGCTTGAACATATTAAGTATTTCACAACACATCTTTAAAAAAACATGTTTCACATTTAGAATCTTTAAGTAAATGTACTGGATTTTAAATTATGTCAATATATGGATAGGATACATGATGGTTTATGTTATAAAAAGCCCTTAACATAAGAGCTTGCTGAGAAGGAAGCCAATTGTTTAGTAAAACCAACTTGAAAGGCTGCGTTATTTAAAAGTAACACACAAGATATGATTTAAGAATTTTAAGTAAATTTAATATGATTTGTCTATCTTGTCTAAAACTTCTAATGAGCATATTTGTTAGAAGAATTGATATAGAATCATTTCTGATGTAATCTCTTAAACTTAATGTCAAATACAGATATTTAATTTCAGGTTAAATAATGGCAGTATGGCTCTTATAATTGCACGAAACACTTCTCGACCAGAATTTATAAAACACCTGAGAAGATACGCCAGTGTTAAAAATCAGGTATAGTAAACTCTTTTCATTACTTATGTGCAAAGCTATTAATCATGGATAGAAATATGCTGCAAGATTTGACATGAAGTCCTGCCTCATAAGAAGCCTTTATTTTCTTCTGTTTTTTATTTTCTTTGTTTTTCAACCTGTGTTTCCTCCAAATTTTGAAAAGCATCCACCAGTACTAATACAGACTGGCCTTTTTTGAGCTCTGGGTTGGTGGATATATACATTTATTTTGTTTGTTTTTGCACAAAGATAAAATAGAAAATTTAGTGTTGTATTGAAGTGTGATGTAAATTAAGGCTAATGTACTCGGGCTCTTCTTCAGAATGAAAAAATAGTGAAATCTGAGATTTTTTAGCCTTATTATTTCTATGGCAGCACCTTTAGAATTTTCCTGCTATTTATTTACAGATCTACCTCCATTGATTGAAACAGAGTTGCAGATAAGTATTTAAAAATACATCACCTGTATGCAGATATTATTTATTTTATTCCAAACTAAAATGGGTGGTGATGTTTGTGGATATAGGAAGACAGACAAACATAGATAGATGATAGATAAAATATTTCCACTGAAGGGATTTGTTCTAAAGAGAATCAGTAACTATCACAAGCCAAATTCTTTTGGCAGATATTTTGACTCAGTTAATAGGAAACTTACCCTGGAACTATGGGAATTTCTGAAATTGTGAGTCTTGAAGTACATCGGCATGGTTGTGAAACCCTGAACTCTCACACCTAGGTATAAAATTGAGCCAAGCTGTGGCTGGGAGGGAACCCTTGGGAGGAGGGGCAGAGTAAATGCAGACAGTGAGCAGCAGCTGAATCTTGTTACATACATGGCCATTACAAGGCTCTCAGCTTTGCCTCCTTACGATTTTCAACTTTCCTTCGCAGCCTTCATGAAGTTTCGGTTCTCTTCTGATTACATTTTTTTGCAATCAATGTGTATTGAGCAACCAACTGAAATGTTTAAGAAATTATATCATAAAAATTAGATATAGTCCCACTCTGCTTAAATATAAATCTCTAAAGAGACAAAGTAGACAAAAGCAAATAAAAAGTAGATTGTGAGCCTAAGTAATAACTCTATGTATGTTTGGGGAAATACAGTGATTTATTGATTGTTTGATGGAATGATATGCCTTTCCAGGTGTTACTGAACTTTTTTTTATGTACTGAACTTCTAAAGATTAAAACCAACTTGATTATTTTTCTTAATCCAAAACCAGTACATGTTCAATGATTGGTTTTTTTTGTTTGTTTTTTGTTTTGTTTTGTCACAAAATAGAAACAGGCAAACAGTATAAAAAGCACTCAAAATTCCATATTCCAGAGATAATCAGTGTCATTATTTGGTATAAATTTTTTTCTAATTATTTTCTATTAAAAAAGTCAGAAGTTAAATTAATATTAACCTTAATGTACATACCCTGATAAGTTGTATATTTATTTTTGGGAGGCATCGCCCTCCCTAAAGTTATTTATAGAAGGTCTCTTTTGGAATTGCCTAAGGGAAAAATTTCTAAGACAAATTTTTGTAGACATCCTTTTTTTAATATGAATTTAAAAGTATCAGATGCTTAATGTAAAATGAAGACAAAGACATAGTGAATGTAATTCTATTTCTTTAGGAAAACAATTGTTTTTAAAAATGAGATTATGTTATGTAAGATATAATCTTTTTCCATGTACTCTACCAGTCATGTCTTTCTTTTGATGCAAGAAACCAGTGTGTGTATGTGTGTGTATGTATGTATGTGTGTGTGTGTGTGTGTGTGTGTGTATGTATGTGTGTGTGTGTGTGTGTGTGTGTGTGTGTGTGGTGTGGCCCATTAGGCTTAACTTTGATAGACTCAACTCTTTCCAAAAATTAAAGTCCATGCTATTGCTCTGTAATTTTTTGTGAATTCTAAAATGTTTTGCATAATGGTGTAAGTTAAGAATAATTAGATTTGACTCCCATGGTGACTACTTTCAAGGAAAATTAATTTGATATACTATTTGTTAAAAAAAATTATAGACACACACATATATATGTGTGTGTGTATGTGGTCACGTTCCTTCATGGTGACATTTAAAAAAAATGTAAATTTATATAAATTATGTATTATTATAAAGAGCAGGTAAATGTAGGATTATATAATCTATTGTCTAAATAGTAGTTCTGGCATCCAGGAGGGAAAATGTGGCACTTCAGCCAAAGGAGACCAATAATCCTGGTCCCTGAACCATCTTTATCAGGCTGAACTGAATGTTCCTATATAGTAACAATTGTAGGATGAATTGAAAACTATCATTTGTGGCATGACTTGCCTTCTCCATCTCTGTGTAAAATAGAAAGTAAAAATCACCCTTCAAGTCGTTTCAGCTCCATCCTATATCGGGCCTCCATTGTCACTGTCTATACATTTCTACATTCGCTCTGACCAGTATTTTTGGTATGGAGCGTATGAGCTTAAAACCCTTAAATGTGTTTCCCCAAGGATTTGTTTGCTGCCCTCTTCTCTTGACACCTTCTCCCGGGTAATCTCATGCCCCCCTGTTGTTTGAGCTACTCTCTGAGTGTTGCACGCTTCCAGGAGTCTACCTTCTCTTCTGACCTGCAGGACCACTATGTCCTCCTGTGTGCTGAGAAAGTTGTGCCACTCACTGGCATCTTAAGTCCAGCGTGTCCATGGCTGACCTTGCCATCTTTTTCCCAAGCACCTCTCTACCCATCCTGGAGTTACTCTGAGTTCTTCTCTCTTCCTCATTCCTCACAGCCTGTCCACCAAGCAGTTCTGTTGGTTCTGCTCTTAAATGTTTCTGAAATTTCTCCCTCACCTTACTTTAAATCTAATTCCTTCTCACTCACAGTAGCTTCCCTGTGGTCTTCCTTTGCTCTGGTCTTGTCCTCTACACTTCCTTCCAAAGGGATGTTTTTCTAAACCACGCATCTGACTTCTCAGTTCTTCAATGCCTTTCTCATTGTCATCAGGATAATATCTAATTTCCATGGCATGTGTTACGTGGCCCTTTGTATTCTGGCCTTTGCCTGTTGCAGCCTCACCTCTTGCTCTCCTCTCCCAGACTGCCTGTGTTTTTGTCCTAGTCTTAGTTTTCTACAGCTGCCACAACACATATTACAGACTGGGTGACTTAAACACAGAAACTTATTCTTTTCACAATTCTGAATGCTCGAAGTCCAAGAAGGTGTATAAGGTGTGCTTTCTCCTGAGGCCTCTCTTCTTGGCTGGCAGATGGCACCTTCTGGCTGTGTCCTCCTATGGTCTTTCCTCTGTGCGTGCACATCCCTGTATCTCTGTGTGTCCCAGTTTCCTCTTATAAGAACGCCAGTCATATTGATTTAGGGTCTACCCGAAAGACCTCATTTTCACTTAATCACCTCTTTAAAGACTATCTGCAAATATAGTTACATTCTGAGGTACTGGGGGGTTAGGACTTCAACATTTGAATTTTTTTTTAGGGGGAGGGGATACAATTCAGCCTATAACATTCTATGTCTATTTAAAAAAATTAAGTACAAGGATTTATATATTCTCTAAAATATGTGCCAAAATACCAGTATTGCAATCGATATTACAATATGTTAAATTTTTTGTAGTTGCCTTACCATGACATAGTTCTGTACTTTACAGCTGCTGTGTCTTCACTCCAGAACTTCTTCCCTTCTCCTCTGGGCTAACTCTCCTGTGTTCTTTAAGATTCAGTTCAAATGGGCTCACCCAATATCCTGAGCCTCTTTGCCTCATTTCCATTATTTCATTTAACTCTGTTTATACCATCATGGCACTTATATGTAGCACAATTCTGTTTACTTCTCTTCCTCATGCTCCAGATACACCCTCACACATTATATTAAGCTTTTGGCTCCCTAAAGTATCATCTAACAATATCTGTGGCTTCAGAGGTAATAAATTTGCATAGATGGATGGAGTTTCATTTTGTGATATAAACACATGAAAACTGATGATTTAAGATAGAGACTTACTGGTGGGAGCCATCAATTATTGATATTGCTTAGCTTGCAGTGATATCGCTCCGTTCTCTGACTCTTTCGTCACAGCGTTCTTTCTGTGTGTGTGTCTATCGTCACATGGCGTCCTCCTCTCTTATAAGGACACCAGTCTTTTTGGATTAGGGCCCACCCGAATGACCTCATCTTAACTTGGTTACATCTGCAAAGGCCCGATTGCCAAAGGTGACATTCACAGGTAATAAGAGTCAGGACTTCTAGATGTCGTTATGGGGAACATAATTTAACTCGTAATAGCTAGTTATCAATGACTCATTTAAAACTCATTATTTTTACAATGAATGATTATGTATACAGTGAATAATTATGTAGAAATTTTTGCCAGTGCACAACATGGAAGATGTTTCCAAGGCTTTAAACCTGAGATGGGAAGTCTAATGCAGACACTGTTAAGCATTTTCACCAAGAGCTGCTTAGGGCCTTATAATCAGAACAGCTAATTCCACCATATAACTCCAGTGTAATCCACTGTGTAACCCAGTGTATTATATGGTATGAACTGTAAAATCTGCTGGACCTTGGTTTTTACATATATAAAATAAGGGGGTTGGGAAAATATTACTTTTCTGTCACCTTTTAAAATTCTGTGCTTCATTGAGGTTTATATATGGAAGAAGGGGAAACACATGTAGGTAATACAAAGGGTGCCAAAAAAAGTATGTACATTTTAAGAAAGGAAAACACTGTATTAAAATTGCAATACTCAATATATACCGATAACAAAAGAAGGATACAAGTCAGGTGTATACATTTTTTTTTGCACCCTCAGTATATTAGGAATAAACCTCATACCATTTATCTGAAAACTGAAATACCAGTAATTAGCTGCTGTGCGTTTCCACTAAAATGTTATTTGGCTGAATTAGTTATTTCAGAAAATGTATCATATTTTTCCACTATAGCTTCCTTATGCAAACAAGCAAAATTGAAACCTGAAGCTTACTTTGCACCATTCTAGAGTAGTCAGTAAGCAGACACAATTATCTTGCAACTTGTGTTCTTCTTTAAAGTGGCGATGAGGCAGGCAAACACCGATGAAAATTATATTTGGTTGATTTTTTTCACCTTCATAAATTTAGATGTAGGTTCCTCCTAATTAAATTCCAAGTGTGAAACTTAGAGTTTGCTTTACATCAGCTAAACTAGTTGACAAGTTACTAACCAAGTCAGTGGATTATATAAATCTGCTGTGTCAAAGATTGTCTTTAATTGGAAATTCTACAATATCATTATTGTATATAATTTCACAGACATTTACTATTTGTCATAAAACAAGTTTGCCAGCTGCTAGATCTAAATGAACTAGGAAAACTTCAGAAAAGTAGTTCCTTATTTTAGGGACATTGGGGAACCTTGGTCATAATTAAAGTTTCAAAGCTATAAAAACATCAGCATACATGTTAATACTTACTCGCAAGAAAGCACAGTGAACTTCCTTAAGTTGCATTAGTAGCTGGGGATAAAAGAAGTATCATGATTATTTGCATTTGTTTTATTTAGTTCAATTTTCCATTTGTTGAGACTTATACTGTTGAAGAAGTAAAAGTTTACCCAAGGAATAAAACCAGTGGACGCCATCCAGAGGAAGAGGATCAGCTGCATGAAACTGCTTCAGAAAAGAGTTTCCCTTGGAATGTAGATGGCGATTTAATGGAAGCTGCATCAGAGGTCCATGTTAAGTAAGTCTCATTATTTCACTGCCTTACATGTCCACCAGTAGACATGAAACTAATAGTATAATGGAAGCCCCCTTCTTGTAACTATCAAATGCAGGCAGTTGGAGATATATAGATATATATGTAGTTAGTAAATCAGGGAAGGATAAAGTGACACACAGTTTTAGTAAAGTATGATTTTACATTATTCATCAGTTGTTATAGAGTCAAAGCATTTTCTTTGGTGATGAGTCTGTACACTGGCATTCTGAATTATAGTTCTTCATAAACAATACAGATAACATGTGTCCTCAGTTTCCATCTTCATTTCTAAGAAATTGATCAAAATCTTAAAGCTTATAAGGCCCTCTACATAGCAGATTGTTACAATTTAATCCCTCAGTCTTTAAAAAACTTCCTTTCACCCATAATTAATACTGTAACATTTTGTGTTCAGCAGTTCACTTTTATCAACTCTTTCCGAAGCATTCAACTCACTTTACATAGGAACAATTTTATGTATTCTTTAAGTAACAAGATCAACTGGTGTAAACAAGTTTAGGAACATGCAAACTCATTCTTGGTAAGCTTTATGACTCACTGGGCAGCAGTGTACAGGGGCACCCTGGATGGCCCACTGGATGTGAGCTTTCTGATTGGCTGGGTTTTACAGAAGCAGTGGAGAGCACTAATCAGCCAAGGAAGTCAGTTAAGAAGGCTGTATGGTAATTTCTGGTGCTGATTTATCAGACCCTCGAACCCTCAGTAACAATAATAGGTTGATGAAATAATCATTTATACACATTTTATTATTTACAGATTGCACCCAAGACTTATCAATCTTTATGGAGGAAGCATGGAAGAAACGAGTGATTCTAAAGTAACATGTAACTGTTTATAACATGTACAAACTAGAATATTAATATGAAGGAATATGGTAATGTTTTGGATAGATATCCCAACAGGAAGAAAATTCTTAATTTTTAAAGAAATTACTCTTTTTGATGTTGTTGAACATTAGCTTTTGGGGCTGTAAGAAACCAAGATATGAAATATACCAAAAATAATTCTGGTTTTTGGAAAGTATTTATTGGAACTGAAAGTAAACATTTCATATACTTAAACAAAACAGCACGATATATCTGTACTCAACCTAGATAACTCCAAAGTGAAATAATTTGGATTCTTTCATTTTTCAGGAGTTGAGTCCATCAATTTTGATGTTAAATCTCCTAAGCCTGGTACAAACAGACCACAGAGTTCACGTAAGAATGATTGTCCTAATGTGGTACCTAATCCAGGGAGGTTACTTTTCAAAATTATGCAGCTTTTTAATGATAGAACCAGAAATATAACTAGTTTCTCAAAATCTCTCCTATATCTAGACCACTTGCCAACCTCCTCTTTAGAAAAGTTGTTATGGTACCAGTTTTGTGAATATTCTCTGAAAATTGAAAAATCAGTTGATTTTCATAAAGTAGTAGGGTTTTAAAATTTATGATACAGATACTACTAAAGTTTATAACAAATTTTATTTCCAACTATGCAAAATATCGAACTGGGCAGAATCTGGCCCAGGAGAGAGCTTGGTCGTCTTCTTGCTCTTGAAAGCCAGGTCATCTGCCAACATAGCACATTGTTTTCAGTGTATTCAGTAAAACCTGAAATGCTGTCATTTCCAAATAGGAAAGAACCAAATTTAAATGTCCTCAGGGATCTTCCTTAGAAAGCAATTCTAAATTTGGGTTTGATTTTGCACCAATGATTCTAGACATTCTCCTGTACTACTTGGCTTTTTATAATGAAAAAAACAAAACAAAAATAGCTTCTGCTCAAAAAAAAAGTGTGCTTTAAAGTATATAATTTCTGTTGGCACAAATAGCGTTCCAGAGATTTCATGCTCATTGTGATTGGGTTTCATTGCTCAAATGCCTTCACAAATCTCTGCATTCCTTCCTCTCAGCCACAAATCGAAGACTACAGGCCTGTGAATGGATAATTTCCAGGTATTAGGCAGTCTGAGGAACACAGCTGTTGGCCGGGTCTTACTTCCTATAAAGAAATATTGTCCATAACAGTAAAGACTGCCCTCTAATTTGTCTATTTGGGCACTTCCTATAACAGATTTTCAAAATTTGTCCACAATCTTTTTACATATATAAATACAGATTTAGCACAGTTCAGATGAAATTATATTCTACAACAGCATCCGGTTCATATGCATGAATAAATATTACAAAAAGAACATATTTGTAAATGTAAAGGCATTTAAAGACTTATTTAAAATCCAGAAACTACATTAGAAAAAAAAAATCTAAGGTAACATCAACAAAAAACTTAAATCATTTCACTTATTAAAACATATAGAAATTTTGATGTTACATTTATATTCACTGGATACAAGCTAAATCTGTATTTTTCAATTTACAGTGAAATTTCTGAATTTTGTTTCTTCTTTTCCATACAGAAGAGAATGCTCTTATATACCTGATAACACATTTGATATTTACATTTGAATAGAAAAGAGGAACATTCAAACCAGTATTTGTGTATTGCTTAATTTGAAAGTATTTTACAGTGTCTAATTTGTATGAAATATTGCCCCCTAATCATTGTCTTTGTAGAGCTTTTATTTTTAAAAACTATCAGTGAGGTACAGTTTGCATATTTTACATATATCAGTGTATTTATACTTCAATTATCAGCTAAAGTGCAACATTCACAATCTGTTTCAGAATATAAATTAGACTTCTTAAGTACTGTTGTTTTTAAAAATGAAAAATTTGACTAATGATGGATTTTTAAAATTTACTTCTGGCTACCCTTAATAAAACTGTATCATAGGACTATATATATATAAACAAATATTCCTTAAAAAAAGTTATGTATATATATACAGAAAGAAGAAATCCAGAAGTCACCCGATTAAGCTCAAACCAGTGTATTAAGCTCAGTCTGAAGTTTGTTCTTCAGGCCTATAATATTCATAGACTACTGAATAAATGGTTGTTGATCAAAGCCCATAGGAAATGTATTACAGATAAAGGTCTTACAAAGGTAAAATATGCTCTAAAGTGACAATGGCCCTCTTTAATTCACTAGGAAATTTGGAAACAGTTCTTTGAAAAATTCTGTGAAATACATTTAAAGAACATATTTCAAACAAGTCTCAAAGATCTATTAGAAATGAGTTATTACATATTCAGTGGAATTTATTTTACTGAAGCAAGCACATATGGCAAATATCTCCTTTTAAAGGAATGATATTTCAAGTCTAAAACTTCTCCAATTGAGTTGTTTACTTCCTCAATATGATTCAATTTAGATGTACTTTCAAGATAAGCGATCCTTCGCCGAGTACTTTAGTGTCTTTCTATCCATTTAAGAACTGAAGGAATACCTTTGGATATATGAAATGTTACCTTTGTAGTTTTCTCTCAAAGAAGTAATCATTACTTGGATATTTCATTTGCATTAAGACATAACATGTCACAAGGTTCTGAGTAAAAGTACATGAAAAAACTGAACCCAGTTCATGATTTTTTGTAAACAGTTTCTTAAATTTCTTTATTATACCTGAGTCTGTTATTCTCTCATTTTGAAAGAAGTCTTTAATCATCATCATCATCATTATTATCATTATTGCTTTTACTGTTAACATAACTCCAACTGTCTCTTCTGTTTTCTTCTTGTAGGATGGATTTGTACTGTCTTTTAAAGAAGCCAGCCTGAAAATAGCATTGCATAATCACTAGTGAGTAGTTATTATACTCATAAAATCTGTACAGTCTTCATATAGATTATTTCACTTAAAGTCATAGAACCTATGTATAACGAAAACAATTTTACCACAGGCTAATTGACATACATAAGATTTAAGTTCTTAACATTATAACGTAACAAAGCTGAGTGAAATGATGTTAATCGAGGACCTAGTGTTTGGGAAATATTGGGTTACAGAGATTTTTAAAAATTATTATTACTGCAGGACTTCTCAGTGATACATGCACACACTCTCCAAAATTGAAATAATGTGCAGTGTCCACAATACTTTTTCAACAAATGTTCAAACTATATAACACTACTTTTGAAAGATGCTATCTTTAAGAAGGCACATTTCTCTAGAAGGACTTTGATACTGAAGTTAAGAGAAATATAAGATTAGTCCTGTATATTCACTTAGGAATTTTAAAAGTTAACATTAAAAATACTGAACTATTTCAGTCTAATAACTTGGGAATCACAACTTGGCTTTGAGAACAAGGAGGGCATTTTGAGCGGTGGAACATTGGTAATTATTAAAGAAAAGCTTACCTTCCACATAACATATGAAATCAATAGAAGTAAAATAAGTCCAAGTAACAAACTACTGCAAATAATCACTATCGTGAAAAGACGTTTGGGTCTTTGATGATGTAGTCCTTCGAGCAGAACCTACATAAATTAACCAAAAAGAAAGAGTCACCAGTTTCAAAACTTGCTCCTATTTCCGTTGAAGCCCCTTTATGATCTCCAATAGCATTTAGAACAACCCACCACATTCTCTGACCAGTTCCATCACAATCACAGGAAACCTTGGTAACTAGCAGAAACAGTGGGCTTTAGCCTATTCCTCCCATCCATCCCACCACATTCACCTAAAACATCTGTGTCATTTCCCCACTTCCAGTTGTGGAAAATGCCAACTCTCAGTGAACGATTTCAAGCCCTCCATGATCCAGTCACAATCTATTTTCCTGACTGAACACCCTAGCAATATTTTTTTCCCCCACAATCTTAATGTTTCAGTTAAAGTTAATCTTACATGTGCAATATTCTCGTCCTTGTTAAGTTCAATAACTTTTGGATTTGACTCTGGAAAAGCTGTCGCTCTTATTTCAAACTTGAGTGCTGAAGTCTCATCCTGTTTAATGAAAGAAAGATCACTATAGCCTGATTCATAGTTTTATTTCATGAAGACATTAATAGAAATAACTTTTCATGATCCTTACCTACCACCTAGAGGTTTTCACAATTTATTTTCCCCCATTCATTTCGCCATTTGTAGTTAATTGTAATGCTTCCTTTGGTTCTAAAGGTATGGTCTTGGCATTAATTTATATGGCATTGTTTTGTTGAAATCCTTTTATTAAACATAGCTACTTTGCAACTAGCTTGATTTAAATATTATTTGTTAGTTACCAGTGTATTTTTCCCTGGATATTGAATTTTTATCCCCAAATAAGACTTTTTTCACCTTATAAACCTTTCTTAAAACTCATTTTATTTTATATTTCTCTCAAATGGGCAATCATTTTAAATTTATTGTGGTAAAATTGGTTAATAAAACTATATAAATTTCAAGTGTACAATTCTATAGTAAAATTTTATAGGTTTCAAGTGTTTCTACAATACATCATCTATACATTGCACTGTGTGTTCACCACTGACAGTCAGTCCCCCTTCCATCACCACAGTGTTGTCATCTTGCTGCTCTAATCAAATACATATAGTCTACCTAATATTGTAATGGAAAAATTTGGTACAAATAGTTACAGTATTCAAATATAAAATCAGCAGGTGAACTCAGACCTTTACTATCTAACACAGGGACTTTATAACCCAGAATTCAGAGGTTGGAATTTGTGGATGGGCTCCACAGATGCTAAGGACATTTTCAAGTTGTATGTAAAATTGAGATTTTTTTTTTTCATATGTGCATTCACTAGGGTAGATGAGAATATATTTTTTAGTTGGATTCTTAAAGACTTCTCTGACTCTCAATAGTCAAAACTACTGTGTAAAGGTTACTTAACAATTTGGAGAGAACATGTAGAAATTTAGGGCTGAAAATAAATTACATACTTCATCTAGAGCAGTGGTTTCCAACAGGATGATTTCATCCCCTAGAGGACAATCAGCAATGTCTGGAGACATTTTTGACCATCAGGACTTGGGAGGTAGGTGCTACCAGCATCTAGTGGATAGAGGTCAGCTATGATGTCTAATATCCTACAATGTACAGGGCAGCCTCTGACCACAAAGAATTACCTGGTCCAAAATGCCTGTAGTACCCACTGTTGAAAAACCTGGACTTTGAGAATATGAGAAGGCAAACTGCAAAAGTTTAAATGACTTGTTGATCCCATGACTTAAGCACAACTGTAAGTAAAACAGGCATCTCTTATTTCCCTGTCTGGTGCATGTTCCTCTTGACCATCATGTGGTAATTTCAAAATATTCCTCTGAACCAAATGTAATAGCTTCCATTTCATTTGGCTTACTATGTGCCATGCGCTATTACAGTCATACCTTGGAGATCGTGCGAGTTTGGTTCCAGACCACCACAATAAAGAAAATATTGCAAAAAAGCAAGTCACACAAATTGTTTGGTTTCCCAGTGGATATGAAAGCTATGTTTACACTATACTGTAGTCTACCAAGTGTGTAATAACATTATGTTTAAAAGATGTGCATATCTTAATTAAAAACTACTTTATTGCTAAAAAATGCTAACCATCACCCAAGCCTGTTGGAAAAATGGCACCACTAGACTTGCTGGATACAGTGTTGCCACAAACCTTTAATGTGTAAAAAACACAATTATCTGCAAAGCTCAATAAAACAAGGTATGCCTGTACTAAGTGCTTTACAAAACTCATTTAATCTAACACCCCTGCAAAAGAGATATTACCCATATTTATCCGATAAGGAAACTGAAAAACAGAACTCCAGATAAAACCAATTTTATCTCAAAATACTTTCATAAATATGTATACTGCTTTCCAGGAAGAAGTCCAAGGTGTATTTAATTATTTTTTAATTCAAAGTTCATTTTCATATACGTGTTTTATTAATAAAGTTTGATGTTTTAGTTCGATATTATGAAAGACCGAATTTTACTTCTTAACTTTGTTATTAGATTTTTAAGCATAATTTAAAATAGTTGGGAAAAAACTTTGATTGTATGAAATGTTAAGATTCAATCAAGGTTCATAAGCAGTTGGACATGCTTTCTAAAATAAACTTCTTAATTATTACATAGTCTATTTTACAGTCTTAATTATCTGTTTAATTACTAAAGCCAACTCATTTAGACAGTGTATTCAGCTGAAGTAATAAATTGAAATAGTTCTACTGTTTTACTCCAAATTTTACTCTCATTAGTACCTTCTTACTTTGTTGAATGCCTCCTTACATACTGTCCTATTTCTATAAGATGGCTGAGTTTGCAAATTCTGTATGAACTTATGAACAAAGTTGGCACTGTATATTAGACTTACCATTTCTAAAATGGAGGGCCGGCCTTCCAACTGAATGTGAACACTGGCTTCTTTTCCATTTTCCATTTTCCCCAAATTGCACAAGAAATTTAAACAATATGGATCAGCTTTCATGCAGTACTTAAAAAAGAATACAAAGAGCTATATTAAAATTTCAACATTTTCTTAAAAGATGACTAAAATATTTTACATGGAATTTAAAAATCTGCTCTCCTGAGTGGCATTTATAAAATGTATCTTGCTAGAAACATGGAATTAAAGATCTGCTTTCATTAGTGGCATTTAAAAAAAATATCTTAACACACAAATGTTTGTTTTATAAATTATAACAAAACCAAATGATTTGAGCTGGAGCATGTGTTCTCATTATTCTTATGAATGGAACCTTCTAGGATAGACTTAAAAGAAAGACACCTAATCACAATCTTGCTAAATTAGGTGTTCTATGTTCATTGTAAAACATGGATAATTTGAAGGGTAAGACTGCTTCCTCATTTTTTTCTTTTCCATTAATCGACTAAAATGAAGAGAGTAAAAATTAATTTCATGCCACAAAGCCTGCTCTGCTGAAGACAGCAGCTTGGCCTCCTAAATGCTCTGGAACAATGTCTGGCATAAAATGGGTGTTGGTTAGGTAAATCATGAAACTGTATAGTGTATACTGAACCCTTGGTAAGCTCACCTTCCCAGTCATGCCTGTTCCTCATATGCAAGAACATCACCTGAACTTGTTTCTCTTCTACACTTGTCTAGCAGATCAAACCCATTGATTTTGGGTTTTAGGTATTTCAGTTCTGTAAGTTAGAAAGCACTACAATCGGAAAAACTGACACTTACCAACAGCCTCTTATCAGTCTTTGACATGAATGTGAATATGTCTCTCAGGGTCTCCATTGTACCTTTTTCTTTTTCTGATGAACATTTCCTCTGATACTTTTCAAAATGGCATTCTCCAGTAGTAGTCTGTCAACATAGTGATAATAATCTTATCATTCAGTATTGTAAAGAACAACAAAAGCTACATGGTTTTAAAAGTTCCAGTTGCTTACCTTTTCTAAAGTATATCAAGTACTTATGAAATTGTTAAATTATCTTTTGATAGATTTATTTGGGAGAAATTAAATCGCTGCAGCAAAATCACAAACAAAAACCCAGCAAAAATTTAGAGCATTGGGTATAGGTCCTAAACTGACCAAATGGCCTTAACCTTATAGAAATTAGGGCAATGTGAAAAATGGACATTTCATCATTAGCATGAAATTATAATAAACATTTATTGGGCTTTAGACATAAAACAATGTGGTAACAGCATGTCCTATCTTGTAAATCTGAAATTCAAGTAAGATTTTAAAAAATTAGATCTCAAACCTATTTATTGATTGCTTGTCTTAAGCCAATTCTGATGAAATCATCAACATAAGAACATTGATTCGTAAGTAGTGATTTCAATATTCTTCATTTTTAAAAGGCTGAATTACTGATTTTTCAACAGTGGTCTCAAGTTTTATGGAGAATCCTACCAATTAAATTACTTCCCCAGGTCCATATCACAAAGAAAATTTATTGAAGATGTAGAGCATAATTCTATTATTGTCCAAGTCCAATGCAGAGATTCCACTGTAATCCTGGAGTTCTAATGAAACATGTACTATTCAAAGTGTACTCAAATGCACAGCGAATTCATAGCTTAGAGCAGGTGTGGCTGAAATAAGTTAACAGAAAGCCCCGTTTTAGCAATATTACTTACAATAAAGGAAGGAACACATTGTTACCTGGACATCCAAAATGTTGAACAACTTATAGGTTTGGGGAATAAAAGAATTTGGTATCATTATTTCCACACTAACATTTGGAGCCACGCTATGGCCAGTGTTGATAACCTGATAAGGAAAAATTTTAAAACAATTTTAAAATATTTTTCATACATGTAAGTACAGATATTAATGAGCTTTTAGGTGGACCCATATGTTTCACACAACATGTATAGTGGTGGAGGTTTGTAGTTGGCAGCACATTAAAGGGAGACAATATCCATAGTTAGAACTTTAAAAAGTTGGCTAATAATTGCAACCTTTAGTCATTATTCCCAGCCCTCTCCTTTTGGTATTAATTAGGCCAAAATGTCCAGGCTGATGTTTTGTAGAAATAGTCTAAAGAGAGAGACATCAACACAGTGTATTTGTATGGCACATACTATATCTCAACCATGATCAGTTGGTCCTGATAACTATCCCATGAGGTGGGCTGACATTTAATTATTCGCCAGCTTAGGAAAATGCTAAGAGGTGTTGGTTAATGATGTACCCAAGATCAAAGTTAAAAAGTGGCAAGAATTGGGACCAAAACTCAGGTGTTCTAATTCTAAACGCTGTAATGTTTTCAAAAATCACTCTGTGCTGAAGGGATAATCATCAACAGTAGGTGAATAAAATTGTATTTTATTTCAGGGTAATTATCCTGCTGACGCATTCAGAAAATAAAGGGGTAGTTTATCGTGTTTTAGAGAAAATACAACAGGTTTTTAAATAATAATGCATAAGGGAATGATATTTCATTATTGTTGATAGATTTGGGGATTGCAGATCCTTGTAAAAGGAAATTGGGCCAAACTATTGCCTCCTGAGAGCTTAGCTATAAAGCAAATACAATAAATCAGAAGTGTGCCACAATTTATGAATGAAATAGCATGCTTCACAGACTTGCAGTAATCTCTTGACTGCATATGACATAAAGAATGTCCCTGGCTTTGGGACAGGTGGTAATTGCTAGGCCAGACAAGGACAAGGGCAATTTCAAAGGCAGTGTCAGCAATGGGCGGTGCCCAGACCTCTGGACAGGTCCAATGCCAGCAAATAACCATTCTAACCTACAATATTCTTTAGCCTTGTTCGCCTGATCATATTTAGGCCTCCAAGGACATCATCTTTGGACATACTCACAAAACCTACACACTGAAAGTATATCCAGTCCCAGTCACTCCATTGTAATTTGACTAGAAAATACTTGTTAACTATTACTGGTGAATTAATACATAGGCCATCCAGAGTCCAGCTCAGTTTCTGTTTTAGTGTATCACAGCGCAAATCCCCTACTGGGCTCTGACAGGGCCATTTCTTGGGACTTCAAAGGAGAGGGCTACATTTTCAACACTACCATATGCTAATATAACAAAAACTTAAGTATATATTTAAACTTAACAAGATGCAAGCTCATTATTCTTCCACAGGTCCGGAGGTGGGCCCAGGAAGCTGCATTTTGGATAAATACCCAAGTGACTCTCCAATTATTTATTCATCAGAAACATCCCTGATGCACCAAAAATCTCAGTTGATAGTAAAAAAGTTTTTAAAATTTATAGTAGTATATTAATACTTCTGGATAATGACAGTACTTCTTTACTTTTTAAAATGATGCATCACTTGTCACAGGTCATATACCTATGGCTTGAAATGCTGACCAAGCTGACCTTAAATGCAGAAATAAGAGCTTCCTGTACTTGGTAATTATAGGGCCTTCATATAGCCTGAACCAAGAGGAGGCTTCACTGATTGGCGCCTGAAGATGTCTTCCCTTGGCCCGTCCTGTTTTCTGCTTGCTCCTCTAGCAGATGCACTTCCTCCCCTAACTTGGCCAGTTTCTGGCTTCACCTCTGTTCCCACTTGCTCAGTCCCACCTGTACTGTAGGGAGATGTGGGCTTGCGTAGCAGGGATAAGACGGGGGGGGGGGGGGGGGAGAAAAGGAGCAGGGGCCTGAGAGGAAAGGGCTTGCATGCCATGCAGCAGCGCCCTCCTCACCCTCAGCCCGCTGTGGTGGGCCCAAGGCTGAGGCACATCACAGGTATATGGGTGTCCTCTCAAGCCATGCATCAGTAACATTCAATTTCTTACAAATATCAACACCATCATTTTTTGCTTACATGGAAAGTGAAGTTCATTTTCTCTGCCATGCATGTTTCAGGCTCCTTTTCCTCCTCAGATCCATACACAAATGAAGTTGGGTTTACAAACCTGATAGAAACAAATTCAAATTTAACTTTGTTTTTTAGTGTTAACAGTCTCATTAATGTATTGACAAAGTGCGTATTGGGCATGTACTAGGTGCCAGGTTGTGCTGGCTGCAAGGATGGCAATATTCATAAGACACATCTCCCCACTTGAGATTTTTGTACAGTCTACTTGAACATAGTTAACTGTCTTTTTTTTGATGAGGTATTATAAACAGTCTCTCTATAATCTGGATTATAGCGTATATCTTAAATATAGACTATAGGTGCCTCCTAAGCACCATGGAATACTTTTGGTTTCTGGGTAAGAATTTTAGTGAAAACAATGAAATTAGAAAGTCCCGTGGTCTGACTTGGATGGCAATATCTCTTCCCACCAATATCCTTTGCTGGCCTTCCCAACATTGCCTGGGACATTCTACTGAATGATTCATGTAAATTTGCCAGATATGAGATACATTCTTAGCTTTTCCCCAGGGCTCCAGTATCCTCCTATAGTTGAATCTATCCTACCTATTTTTGAGTTGTTCCCGCCCCCTAATTCCTGCTGGCTATTCGTAATGAAACCCATGTGTGGGAACAATACAAATACCAAACAATTTTGGTAAATTTTTTTGTGAGAAAAAAAGGTTTTCACATTTTTGCCTGTGATTAGACATACGTATGGTCAGTAATGAACTTCAAGAAATACTTCTCTCGAGAAACCCTGGCTCTACAAGTTGCTCATGTTTGGCAGCAAGAATAGGAGGGAATGCAAATTAGGGACCCATTCCACAGGAAAAAAAATTAGAAATATTCAAATGTAGATGTAGGCAGCTTAATAGTTGCAGAGTTCTCCTTGTATAAAATAACAAGATGTGGATGATGAAAAGATAGGAAAACACTCATTGCAGGAAAATCGAGGGGAGGCGAGACAAACATTCAAAACCCGGAAACGTGCTGTCGGCTTCTCTGCTCCCCACTGACTCTCTAGGTCCTCCTCTTCCCTCGAATGGCTCCCTTTATCCCACTGCTGGTTTCATCTAACAACCATGATAATTTCATCAGTCTCAGACACTGATATTTTGTTTTTATATAAGTATAAGCCGTCTTTATGGGTGGTTAAAAATGATTGGGGAAGGTTTACATTTAGAGCAATAAGGAAAGCTCATCTGTCTATTCCGTATTCATCTTCAATTGCTTTTAAAATGTGGCTTCAAACAAAGATTAATAACCCAATAATTTCCATGAAATCACTCAAGTTTTTCTTAATATGCCCTTCATTCTTTCATCAAACATCTCCTTCTTGAATCAGTCACAACCACTTACACAATTACTGAAATTATGAGGAATCAGTGAATACTGGCTCTGGGGCTGTGGGTGAGGAACTCCATAATCCCTAGGTATAAAGAGAGGAAAAGGGACACCCCGCACCCAGCTCTCTCATATCTCAATCTATTTGCCACATAGGTAGACACGGGTTCTAAAGAGTAGGGATTTGGCCAAGCTCATACTTTTTTAAATTTCACCCTTGCCACGGCCACAGAGTATGATCATGTAAACTGTGTGCGGCTCAACTCCCAGGGCTCCTGGCCTGTGCCGCGCCCCACTGAGAGGCTGCACGTGGCCCTCTAGCCGCTTATCAGGCTCTTCCAGTAAGAAAAGTCTCCCAGCCGGGCACCAGCATTATGTGGTTTCAGTAATGATTATAGAGTTCCTTAAAATAATGAACAGCTAGGCAAGGGACTGCAAGGTCTAGGCAATTGCTGAGAGATAGAAACAGCACAGGATCTTTTACGATTTTTTAAAAAAAATATGGTTTTGACCAATAATGTCAACAGCAATGGTATTTAAAATCAGCCCACAACTTTAGAGGAGGCCTCAATATCAACGTACCCATGAACAGTTAGCATGACTTCATACTTCAGAGGTATTGTGACCGTGACTTTGTTATGCCTCTCATTGTCCATTTCCCCTTCATTTTCACTACAGAAGCAAATAGAAAGCACCCTGTTAGAATCCATCCAGCACAAAAATCATCTTCAGAGGGGACTAATTACATACGGTGTATACCTAACATACTCGGAGGCTGTGTAAATAATGCTTTTTGGGAGGAATGGCCATAAAAGTGGAAGTGGTAGTAAGAAATTTTTATGACGGGGTTGGCAGACATTTGCTCTCATTATTTACACTATTATTTGCTTCTATGCTGGTTGGAGGTTTTTTTTGGTTGGTTTCTTAGATCACATAAGAGAAATGTTCTCCTGCAGGCAATGAAACCCAGCTCTGTGGTTCCACTAAGGTTCCCCTCCACCAAAAAAAGTCAGGGGTCCGTTTCCTTGAGTACAAGGATTTTTTTCCCCAATGAAATATACCAGGCGGCATGCACTGTGATGTTGAGATCCTCTTCTGCTCTGTTGAGTGAGCTCACATCCAGGAGAAAGCTCACATCCACCTGTAACACATAGAGAAAAAAAGCTCAGTTTTAAAATAACCTAAAACACATATTTTTTTATAATCTGAATTTTATTTTTCCTTAAGAGCTTATCTTCTGTGGAATGTAAATTCAGAACTATGTTCTGGAAACACAGGCTTCCTCCTCTCTTGGGCAGTGAGCTGCGAGGACGCTGTTAGATTTGTGGCAATTTTCAAGCACCAGCATTTCCACGAGTGCCATTCAGAGACAAAGCCTCCTCTGAATGCAAAGACAGGCTGGTCCAGACTGACAAAATTAGAGATGCTTTAACAACTTGAGTGAGGACTACTGCCAGAAACACCTTTTTGTATAGCAGAGGTAACATGCCTGGCAGATAGGACCACCTGGGGTGGGGTGGGGTGGGGTGGGGGAGTGTTGGGAAAGAGTGAGAGGGGAGCAGAATTCTGACTGACACATTCACATGCCCATCTTGACAAATACGTTTTTTTTTTTTTTTTTACAGTGAACATGGCCAAGAATATAAACACAATCTCAAAGATCTCAAGCCCAGTTGGTTTTGGTTTTATTTCACTGCATAATTATTTACCCTAAGCAAAAAATAATACATTATATATTTGTATGCAGCATAAACACAGGGAAAATAGAAGGGAATTATTTCATGTTGGTAAACAAAAATTATAAAAGCTAAATACTTACCCTTGAGAGATGATCTACATATATATAACCAACTCTGCAGTCAAGTTTTACTATGCCAGAGCTATCTGTTACATCACAGCTTATTTGCTTCTCTTCCTTTAAAAAAAGAAAAAAAAAAGAGAAAAGGTTTAGGTAGGAAGGGAACACAAAGTTTGTAACATATGTTTAAGGATGGTTTTTGAAAAAAAAAATCATCCCCCCTAATTTACTTTCCTAGACAACTATTTGGCTATAAATGGAAATGTAAACATATATTTATGTAAAATAGTCATGTAAATTCTCCACAGAATAATTCCTGGACTTGTGGTTTTCATCCATGTTTGTGCTTCCATCCTATTTAATTCAATGTCCAGATCCCTGAAAAATCATGAAACAAGGAATTCATAAGGTCTATATTTCATTGGTCCTCTTCTGTGTGGGATGTGAGAACATGTTTAAGATATTTAATTGTAATAATATTAACCACAAGAATATACAAATACAAACACACACACACACACACACACACACACACACACACACACACACGGTGCCAAAAAAAATGTATGGCGCCCCTGGTATACATACTCAAATATATGTATGTATAGAGATGTATATTTCCCAGAAATATTTGTGTATTCCCTCTTACTATTGCAAATAGGCTCTTAATGCTCTACAGAAAGGGGGTAATAGATATTTCTAAGAGGTGAAAGGCCTCTCTAAATGTCCTTGCTGTGAAGAATTGGTCTCTGGGTAGGACATGGGTAAATTTGCTAAGAGAGAGAGAAGCATCAAAGGAGAAGGCAATTGAGGCTTTTCTCTTTGAAATTCAGCCTTATTAATATCTCACTGATGGATTTAACTGCCCATGACTGAGGCATGGTGGTAAGGAAAGGTCTCCAGGTGCTTCAAACCCTTGCAAAATCCTGATCGACACCAGGATTTTGGGATTTGTGGAGGACTGCTGGCTCTAGCAAGTTGGAGGTCCTTTGGGAACAAGACTGGGTATGTGAACTTCCAATGCAGAGCAGTAACTTTGCAAGCCCAGCATGGGGGACCAATATTGCTTGTGCAGGGACCCAACTAAGAACGGCATCAAGCACCTGATGAGGATGTACCAGTGAGAAAAGCAATGACACCCAAGCAGCTAACTGGACAATTGTTTCTCTCTCGTAATAGCATTTGGAAGCAAGAAGCTGACTCTTGATCTCAGTCAGATCCCAAAGGACCTGTCATTTTGCTCAGAGGCAAGGAGGAAGTCTCAAAATCACTGGAAGCCCGAGTGACAAGTCTAAATAAGCCACAGTTATTTAGACCTCAGACTGATGAAGTGAATGATATCACTTACACTTTTAAAAAATTAAGTAAAATATCATGTGGCATCATGCTACTGTGGCTTTTGATACTTACCAGATCTAAAATCTTAATGAAGTAAATCCCAGTGGGTAGTCTGATATGCAGGGTTGTTTCATATGCATCATCTCCAGCATTAAACAAGGACACGTTCAACATTAACATCTTCATACTCCCAACAGCAAGATAGGTTTTATTTTCATATGGCCTAAAATTAAGTAATGTTATTTAGTCTTTGTTTGGGAAATAAAAATCACATCTCATTTATTTATCCCAAACATAAAATATTAATTTGGAAAAACAACCAGGGGGAAATGACCCCATGCAAAGTAGATGCAAATCTATGTTAAAAAAGAACACAATTTCCCATGTTTCATATAAATTCAGTCAGCTATTACCCAAGTTTTTTGTTTTTTTAATTAGTTATAATTAAGCTAGTCTGCTTTCTGTTTTACTTGTCTAACTTCTGGCTTCTATGATTTTAACATATTTTCCAATATTTTTCTAAAAGCGTTTTTTTTCTTTCTTTATCCTCTAGTAGACATTGAACTAGCTGCTGCTCAAACCAAAGCAGGGAATGGAGGGAACTAGGAGAAAAGGAGCATAGGGCAAGTATTTCCACTGATAGAAAGGATGTTTCATGGAAGTGAACACGGCATGAGAAAAGACTGCTAGGCCCAGCAAGGGAGTCCAACTAAATCAAGTCTGTTAGCCTAGAATTAATTATATTAAAGACAGGCTGCTCACCTCTATCAAGAACTAGACCAAATTAAAAACAAATGCAGAAATGCTCCACCATCCTGTGAATTGGAAAGAGGAGATTGCTGCAAATCCAGGCATGCGTGAGCTCAAGTTCTGGCACTGGCCCCAGTTCTTCCGGGGGAGGTGGGGTTCATTTAACATTCTTAAGCTTCTGTCACCTCACCTGTAATAATCACTAGTGTTCAGTGGAGATTTGGGCCATGGACATTCCATGAATTCCTCAGAACAACACATGTATATATGAGGAACTTGAGGTTTAAGAAACTTATTTAAGGTCTCAGGGCTGGAATGTTCTAAAGTCTCAAGGCAAATGCAAATCTCTTTGCTTACACAGCCCATTCACTCTACCAATGAGAGAGTTAGAAGAGTTGAATGTCAAAAATTTTCCAGTTACAACATGATTCTATAAGCTTTCCTCAGAGACAGATTTTCATAAATATCCAAAAACTTAAAATTTTAAAAAAGTAGTTCAACCAAGAAAGGATGTGAGCCAAAGCAAAATATCAGATGAGAGGGCCGGCCG